CAGCTTGACTCACTCTCCTCACTGGATAAATGAAATCTGATCTGTGATGCGACTGTCGTTCGGCATGCTGCATTGAGCACCCGCGTTCAGTTTTTAATTGCAGTGTCTGTTCTTTTACTGAACTAAATGATTTTTATTTCTATTAAAAAAATCAAAACGATGGTGGGGGTCGGTGGGCAAGTGATGTAGCCGGTGTTGCGGCTTAACACCGGTATCACCGTCAACACCGTCTATCGCGGCAAGCCTAATCCTCAGTGTGGTTCTGGGGTATCTGGTCTCTAAACACTTTGACTGCAGAGTCCAGTCAGCAGTTATGTAGTGTATGGTCAAGCTCATATATGGGGTCATATTTGAGCTTGACCACATATCTGTAGTGGCAGAGTAAAAGTAGATGTCTTTTATCTCCTTCAGAATGCCGTCTTTTACTTTGTTGTTCAAGGCCCGCAGTTGATTTTGATATTCTAGGTATTATCAAATTGCCAGAGTTTTGAGAACGCAGCGGATGTGAAGGATTATAATGTAATTAGAGCTCATTCAAATACTGAGGTGCTAAACCATTCAGGGCTTTATAATAACAAGATTGTAAAATGTACACAATGTTTAATCGGGAGCCAGTGCAGTGCTGACATATTTTACAGTGGTTATTCATAAATATAATATGTGTGGCTCTGTGATTAACAAGTAAAATTAAAAATGGCCTTTTGACAAAAGTATTCTTTGAATGTAGCCAGTATTTCATGTCATATTTATGCATTTTGTCCATTTTCCTCAGAATGAAAAGGCTAATTTTATGTCTAAGCAACAAAAAAAACTTTAGTTGGTTTAGTTGTTTTTTCAATATATATGTGTATAATTAATATGAACCTTTATCAACATGTGAATTCTTTATGCTTCAGTTATTGTCTATATTTTAGTGCATTGATATAGAAAGAGAAGCATTCAAGCCAAGTACATGAGGCCCTTTTTGTGGACAAAAGTCTCTGTGTCTCCTGACAGCATTGGATAGCCAATAACCTGTTTGGTCTGGCTTTTGCCCTGAATGGAGTTGAGCTGCTCCACCTCAATAACGTCAGCACTGGATGCATCCTGCTGGGAGGTCTGTTCGTTTACGATGTGTTCTGGGTAAGTTATGGAAATGTTAGTACATTCAAATTCATTATTGTAAAGCCTGCTTAATATAGGGCCCACCTACAAGATTTGGCACCGGCCCTGGTACATACATGTCTCTGCAAAAAAACATGTACTCTGTTTGTTTTCTAGGTTTTTGGCACCAATGTTATGGTGACGGTTGCCAAGTCCTTCGAAGCCCCAATTAAGTGTGAGTATCTGATTTATCCATCCATCCTTCTCTCCATTAATCTCCAGAACAGGAGGTTGTTGGTGGTTGGTTATCTGAAGACTGGCCGTTTGGATACTTTCCCTGGATTTCATTAAGGAAGTATCAAATTAAAATAGTCACTTAGCAAATCATCTATAAAAACTGATCATGAAAACAATCGACAGTCAAACAAAATGCATCTGAAAATTATCAGAAGACACAAAGTTGAGCTGTTGTGGGAAAAATGTGACACAAATTAAGAACATTAAATTGTTTTATATTAAAAGGAATAAGTTCACTCAAACAATTAAAATTGTAATTTTGCTCATGTCATCCATGTAATGAAAATGAATGGACATCAGTACTGTTTGGTTACCAACATTCTTCAAAATACTTCTGTGCAACACAAAATAAGTCATACAGCTTTGGGACAACATGAAAGGGAGTAAATGATAACAGAACTTTCATTTTTTGGAACTATTGAACAATCTCTTAAGCGCTTCAAACAAACTCATATACCATTTACCATATACTAATATTTCCATCTTGCTTGAATCATACTCAACGCAAGCGAGTCTGTTAAACTTCGCAGACTGCACTGGACAGGCATGAGCACGTAATGTATAACAAAATATAGCATGCAGTTACATTTTCCTTCTTGTTTTTGTTTACATAGTGGTTACACATTTAAAGAGAGTTCTTTTAAATAAAAAAATAAAAAAATATTTTAATAATTTTTTTAATGCATGCAATATAATACAATGTACTTATATGTAGTATAACATTTCATTAGCAATTTTTTATTGTTTTTATCCAGTCATACTGGAACAGGTCTTGATGTTTACTTGGTAAAAAGGCGTAGGAACCCTGATATTCACCTCTTCTGCTGGAAATTACTACTCCATCTTCATTCTCTTCAGTTAATTCTCACTCTTATATTTCTCTATTTCCCACTCCTTTTTTTCTTCTAGTGGTTTTCCCTCAAGATTTGCTGGAGAAAGGTTTGGATGCCAGTAACTTTGCCATGTTGGGACTGGGGGACATTGTCATTCCGGGTAAATATATATGACATGTTTGTTTAAGACGGCTATTTATTGCACAATATAACCTGTAAACATTGAGCCATGAACATTGTTCATTATTTAAAGGAAAAGCTTATTACTGAATGCACTCTTTCCTGCTCTGTCAGGGATCTTCATTGCTCTGCTCCTGCGCTTTGATGTCAGGTAAAGTCCTTTTGTTTTGTTTTTTTTGGTTTTGTCTGACTTCAGGTGCTTGCAGTTTTGATTTACAGCTGTTGTCGTTTTCTCATCTTTCACTCTTAGTTTGAAGAAGAACACACGTACTTACTTCTACACCAGTTTCCTGGCTTACATCTTTGGCCTGGGTCTTACCATATTCGTTATGCACACCTTTAAACATGCTCAGGTAAAAACATAACAAACACACTATTGCTGTCCTTCATTAAAGAAATCAAGCCAAGATGGCACTGAATGAGGCTGTGTTTTGTTTCCCAGCCTGCTCTGCTGTACCTGGTCCCTGCTTGTATTGGATTTCCAGTGCTGCTGGCCCTGTTTAAAGGAGAACTGACTGAGATGTTCAGGTAACTCCGCTCCTGACAATGACCATGTTCAGAGCTTATGTCCAGGGTCAGGATGCTTAGGGGACATTAGCTTGGAATGTAGTTTTAATGAACATAGCACACTTCTGCTCTCACGTTCATGCATGCATGTCATTGTGTCTTTCTTGCACCCAAAACCAATGGTGTAGCACCTGTCATGATGGGCTGCCTCATTTCTACTGTTACTCTTTACGTTCAGTGTGCTTGATATATTGTGCTCTTTTAAAATACAGTCACGAGTATCACTTACACTTCTCACACAAAGAACTTTTTAATTTCTTCCGGAAAGAAATGGCACTGGACAAAGATAACATTTCTAGTGTGCATGTGTGTTGACTGCCTGTGTTCGCACACTGTCAAATGCTGGAGTACTTTTAAAGGCTATGTGTTCGACTGGAAGCATACACTGTGTTCGCATTGGTTCACAAGAGTTTGGACTTTATTTGAAAACTCTTTCATTGGCATAAAGCTGCTCAAAGTAAAGCCTGCAATACACTACACTAGGGCTGGGCGATTTTCCCGATTTTATAGATTAATTCGAATTTATTGTTTTGCCACGATTTTATTTTTTAGAAATCGAGGAATCGCGATTCTGAATAGAAATCTTACCAAATGTTAGAATAAGACACTTTGACAATATGCTGGTGATAACAGTAAAGAGAAAAGAACGATCCAACCGCATGTCGGCGCACATGATTAACCGCTCATGTGTGACGCGCTCTGTGAAGGACCATAAATTTAGCGTTAGGCATCATTCACACAGCGCTTTTGTGTTGACAAAGATGCATGTTTTACCAATTCCACTGCCCGCGTCGCAAGAAGATGGGAGTGAACTTCTTTTAACTTGAGCGCAGTGTTTTTAGAAAGCCGTTTCATGCACGAGACACTGCAAGAGACGTGAGCGCAACAGTCAAACACATCCATGTTTACACAGAAAAAAAACAATGGAAAAGCAGCGCAATCGAATACAAAACCTGTAAAGAACTACTACTGTATGTCTGATATTTCATGTTTGCATCATGGTGACAGGCTGAAAGCTGCTGTTGTTTTTAAAGAACATTTATAGTTAATAATAGTCTACTGGTGTTATACCTTCAGTCATTTTGAATTTGAATTACCTTGACTTTTGAGATTTTCTAAAATAATTTTCCTCGTATTATTTCTGAACACATAATATGTATAAGACAAGTTTGTACAATATGTAGTTGTAGTTTATGCATCTTTTCTGCAAAGATATTTAACAAGTAATTTGTTTAACATTTACATTATGTTGACAACTTGTGTGCTGCACTTGGAATAGAATTTTCTTTATCTAGAAAGTTAGTAAAGAAAAAGTTACTTGAATCATGTTGTAGTTCAATTTTCAAGTTGACTAGTTAAAAATCGTTTAAAAAAAATCGAGAATCGGTCAAACATTCTGGAAAAATCGAGATTT